TACTAGATTGCCATCTGTATTTAATTAAAAATTCAGATGAAAATCTAATTGAAGGTAACTTTCGTTTTGATGAATTAAAAGAATACTTAAATATAACTGGTGTAAAATATGCATCTATGTCAGACGATTGCACGGGAGTGGTACTAAAAGTGCAATACGACAAAAATTTAGTGCATTCGTTGGATTTAATACGCCATTAGTTTCTGGGATACCATCCGTTACTTATTATGAAATAAATTCCTTTGATGAATCGAAAAATTGGTTCACAAACACTGAAAAAGAACAGGTACGATTATCCTTGTGGGTGTTGGTGTTGTTTATTTGCCTAACCTGCTACAGTTTATCAGTTTCTTTCGATTTGTTTAAATATGAAGTGTTGTATGTCTCCGTCAATTGTTTAGATTGTGATGGAAAGTATCTTCGTTCAGTGAGATTAGTCTGCGTTTTTTCTGCTGATTCGCCACATGTTAAAAAATATCAAATAGTCAAAGATTTTACAATTAATATACCAAAATCTTGGATATTTATATCCAATACATCTTTGCATTAAGTCACGACGTTGTTCTTTGTTGTTGACAAAGTCCGACATTGTTTTGTTCAATCAGATTTGTATCATAAGGACAGACAATATTTCATTTCTTGTCGTCTCAAAATATATTCGATTTATTAGATAAAGATCAAAAAGCTCAATCAGCCTTCGTTTATTTACAATTATTAAATTATATAACTAAAGCCTATGTTGATAATAATCGAAATATTTTGAATCGATTATATTATGCATGGATTGTAATATTTGTTTACAGATTATGGTGACTCTGGTTGAAATTGTATTTGATAAAAGAAAAGTTATCAAAACCGAAAATATAATAATAATAATTTTTCTAATTTAACGATGAATGATATTGGAGTAACAATACTTACCCACCTTTAAAACAGCAAAAACGTTTATTAATTAATTAAAAATGATCAATTTATCAAAAAAAAAACTGTTTATGCATTAAAAGAATTAGCATTAGCTGTTTGTAAAGAACATGGCACAACAAATGATGTCCATGAATATTGACATTAAATAATCTTGATTCTAAATCCGAAACAGATACAAATGAAAATTATTTCGTTGAAGACGAAAACAAAGCAATGGAACAGTCAAATTCCGATGAGGATGATGATGACGATGAAGAGAATGATGGTTTATTAACAACAACAAATAACACGTTTTCCGATATAACAATATTTGATAGAATTAAAGCGGATTTTGAACAATTTGAACAAACGGATTTCAAAGTAAATAACGTCTCAAGATAAATAACGTTGATATATATATGTGCATAAGGCTGCTCTCTAAAAGAACGGCTGCAGACAGAACCTTTTAAGGGTTATTCCCTTGGGTCTCACATCGAACTATCCCAAAGGTTCTGTACAATAAACGGTTCAGTTTGGAATCTCCATATTTCCTCGGAAAATAAATTCCGTCTCACCAATAATGTTCAATATTAAGTATTTTGTAAATATATATAGTACATTTGACGGAGTGCAAATTAAGCCGTCAACTGTTTGCTTTAGCTACTTACAACGGGTAAACTGTATGCGCGACGTTGGAAACAAACGACAGATACAGTAGAACCTCTGTATAGTGGACACCTTCTGGACTTCCCAAAAGTGTCCACTATACAGAGGTGTCCACTTTAGAGAGGTTAAGTCTTTTTTCAAGTTTTGTGATGCAATATAGCCTTTTGAATGCGTGCAGTACTATGAATAATATAATGAAATTTACTATACTTTTACCGATCTACCGTTCATTATTTTATTTTGATTATCCTTGATTAAAGTAATTTTTTCCTCTAAAGTTAATGCTTTTCGCTGAGACATTATGCTCTTTTTTTCTTTCTCGAGAGTTAGAAATAAGACAAATGAAGCAAATTGGGCAAATAGGATAAACGAGACAAATGAAACAATATCACCATTGTTTTCTTTTCTCCTTTTCATCAAGTATTCATCAAGACGGACAATTCTTTTTCTGTCTTTTATGTGTCATTAAAGCATATCAAAGATATAGTGTCTGTTTGATCCTATTCATCATAGAACATTTTATTAATTTAAATCAATGAAGTATTCTTGTTTCGTCGACAACTCACTCTCACACCGCCCCTCCCGCCTCTGATGTTCTCTGATCTATATTCTGTGAAGTGGCCGATTTGTCGACGAAACGAGAATACCCCAAATCAATGTCCACTACAGAGAGGTATTTGGTATGAAAGGGACTGAAAAAAAGTGTCCACTATGGGAGGTGTCCACTAAAGAGAGTGTCCACTATGTAGCGGTTTAAATCCAGCAAAAAATGCTGCGTCGGACCTCAAGGTGTCCACTATAAGGAGGTGTCCACTATAGAGGAGTGTCCACTAAGGGAGGTTTTACTGTAATATTTTACCCAAGAGTCAGGAAAGAGCTGAAATGATAAGCACGTCACAATAAGTTATCTATTGTTTTTTAGTAGAAGATGACAAACTAATTAAAATATGAAAAAAAAACAGTCAATCCGTCCTAAAGCGAATGCAAATGGCATTTTTCGATAATTTCTTTTTCAGTGAAATGTTAGTTAATCATTTCCTGAAACTTTGTCAGATATATCACCATTAGTCGTCGATTCTTCCTACCTTTGATGTTTAGAGAGAGATATGTTTTACGACTTTTTCTGTTATCAGAGCATTCCAGTCAAAATTAATTAGTTACCTAGAATTTGATTCATCTTTTTCGATCTGATAAAGTATCAAATAAGGTACCGGGGTGTGAAAAGTTTTTTGGTAATTGAGTTCTCCATATAATCAATTTAAATGTACCAGCGTTTAAATCGGTTACTCAGTTATTAGTTCACTCTCTTCATTATTTCTCAACAATATGCAGTGAAATTATTCGAAGTTTACTATAGCATTAAAGTTTTCTTTTTATAAACACCATATACTATGTTTGAAGTGTAGTGTTCTTTATAAAATCAATTGTGCTCATGGCCGAAATAGAAAGAAAATCATAAATTCGAGACCTTGAGCTCGAGATGGTTTTAGACTTTTAACCTGATATTTAACTCGCCGGCGAGTTTATAGTCCGGTGCTATGCATTGTACTAATTTACACATAGACGGTCTTCTACCCTTTGGTATATAGATATATCATATAACAATCAGCCATGAACTAACATCATCTATATGTAGAACCTGCGTCTTCGTCTAAATAGTTTCGCTTGTACTGCCAGGCCAAAAGTAACACGGACTTAATGGTTCGGTTAAAACAAGATGACATTGAACCATTTTAAATCGACAGATCTCTTTTCTCTGAAATGTCGAATGGTTTTCATTCAAAATGCATCAGCCACCTTCATAGAACTTTGCAGGTTCTATCGCACTTCGATCGAACTATGAAAAGGATCCATCTACAGGACTGAACCCATCAAGATTCTTTCATTGTTAGAGAGTACAGCCTGTTGGTTGCTATCATAAAAGAATGTTTTGTGACATAGTGTCAAGAGTAATGCAAAGTAACACTACCGATTGAAAAATCTTTCTTTTTTCTGTACATTTATGAAGTATTTTTCGATTCAGACAACTATGTAAATACATTGTGACTAATTCTTTCTAACTCTTGTGAAAGGTTAATGCTCAGCCGCTATGGCTGAATGGTTATGTTGTTTGGCACATACTTCAAAGAGATCGTGTTCTGGCCTCGGCGCCACCAAGTTATAGAATAACCTTGGGCAAGTTAATAATGGCTATTGTCTCGGATCACCCGTCCGATAGCATGCTCACTACGTTGTGACATACACCGGTACTTCGGTGCTAGTATGCGGTTAGTGAGTGTGTATGGGGAGCTCACGCAATTGGGCGAACTCTGTGTCAGGCTGGTCTTCTGTCCAGAGCTACAGTTTGCTTGGTGACCGTCTCTGACGATCATCACCTGTAGGGAAGATATCGGGCTTATCGAAACTGCTTCGGCACCACGCTACACCGCAAGGTAGCCCCAAGGCGGGGTATTCTTCCTTCCTTCCTAATGCTCAGTAAATAACTGTCTTAAACACATAAGACAAGAAGCTTAAATTCCATTCTGTAGAACAAATTTCTGCGGAAAACACACAAGTCCACTAGGAGCTCTATGGGTCATTCCACCGACTTTCATAGTGCCTGGAGTGTGACGAAGTGAGCGGAGTATTCCGAATGCGGACTCTGCTCTTTCCCTCTTGAGATTGCCTCGACACTACACCACGGCCTTGTCTTCGAAAGATCTCATACAAGTCGGCAGGAAACACTTTGAAATTCTGAAAAACACTCTATTCTGTCTCTACAATCTGGCTGTGGATGTGTCTGAAGGCGTGATTAAACGATGGATGCTTCTGAGCCAAGAACTTCTTAGAGTGCTTCACAATTCTGGTATGTTCTGTCGCTTTTCTAGATCAGAGGTGTAATTGTTGAACTAAACGAGCTCGTCGAGACAATATGCAAAGATCAGACGAAACGAGAGAAAACAGATGATTCGATCTCAATCAGCATTTACGATAGAACACACACAAATCTCAAATCAGACAACAGCTCATTTATGTGGTTTCAGCTGTTTATCGAAGTTCTACTCCGAATGAAACATTCACAAACATCGAAAGATGAACTAGTTCAAATCTGCCACGAACACTATCGAGGCAATGATGCAGACCTTAAGATTATTCGTGAATTTCATAAAACATACAAACCGTCTGATGCTCTACGATGGTACACTCGAGACTGTTTTCTCTACAAGATGCTGAACAAAGCGCTTCGAGTTCAGAACATCGACATTCTCTTCGCGCTTCGATTTCTAATCGTCG